AAAACTATGAAATCAACACTCACAGTGGGTGTGGCTAAGTTCAGTAGCAGAGTATAATACCGGCATACTCACTTGAGATTTGGATCGCCTTTTAAAAAACCAATAAGTCACGTGTATACCCTGTGTCTGTGAGAATCACGAACAGTGTACCAATCGGAATATTATATCAGCTATCCTGTGAAACAAACAGATTAAATTCTATGACGAAACGAATCACACACCATCTCTTGTGCTTTCTCAAATAACCAAAACTATCATCAACAAAGGTTTATTAGATTAGATTGCTTATGTGTTTTGTAATTAAGAAAACGAATTGCCTAGATTCATACAGGCGCATGCACTGGAGAAAACAAAAGAGAATTAAACCGGTTACAGACCGTTCTCGAATCTCTAACTCTAAACAACAAACGCAGAATGGTTGCCGTCTATCGGGTATTTTAGATGCAGCAGTTCAATCGATATGTGCAATTTCCCTGTGGAAACCATGACAACATATACACGTCGTTAAGAGATACAACCCGAATCAATGGGAGAAACTATGAGCGAAGAAGGAACAATTGAGACAGCTCAATTATAAACTTTACGAAAGAGATCAACAATATCAAGAGTTGAAATGAGCGAAGTTTAACAGGTATCGCGGTCAAGAATTGAGAATAGAAAGAACTGGTCACTGAAAGAGCTCGTCTCATTTGAGTGACATTACGTGGTTTACCTCTTAACCGTGCACAGAGCACAGTTTTTCGTCCTAGTTCTTTTGATTCTGACTGTATCGCAAACTATTTTATCCACGGTTTCTCAGTTACTCATACAACACATGTCCAAATAATTGTACTGTTAAGTTCACTCCATTCACTACTTTTTCTTTATCTTCGAGGTGACCATCTCCTACATGAATCTAAGGCGGAATTATGGGGAAATCCGTAAAGAATTTTGAAAATAAGGTTCAAATGGTCGTACTCGATAGCACTCAGTCTTGTCCTTTGAGGCGATCCGTGCATAGTGCTTTGTGCGGCTTGTAGGTCAAAAAGATGATAATACTGGCAATGTTTCGCAGCTAACCAGTATGGCTAGGAGTGGGTGTCTCGAGTTGCGGCTGGTCACCTGTCCTTAGCACCTCGCGAAATGCAACCATATGACCAAGCGTCTCAACTAGCCTCTGCCGAGGAAGCCCTACTCATTACTTCATCGTGTCGGAGGTGTTTTCCCACCAAAGTGGGAGGACAAAATTCAACATCCGGAACTATAGCCGGGTTGGTGAACCATTGGCAGTTCCCCTAGATGAGTTAGCTAAAACCCTGATTTCAAACCAACCATGAGGAGGCGTACGAACCACACACATCCTCCTGGTTGTGGCGGTGGTCACCAGCTCAATGGAGCACCTTGGATGTCCAAGGGGCGTATGATCCGATGAATTGGACACCG